CATGGCACCACCATATTTGATCCATCACCATGCATATTGAAGCAGCTCTCTCTCCCACATATTTCATCCAAACTGCTTAAAAATTTCTGTACATGATAAGAGCCCTGCCCTCAATGCCTCCATATGCTCGTAGGCAATCTTGCTCATGCCGCCCCCTTGTGGAAACAGGAAATGCCCTATTATACATTGACATTGTCCGATTTGCTCGAAACTTCACATGTGTGATGAGGGTCCACCCCTGAACGCACCTGCCCACATCTGGTTATGCTCATAGCACCACCTGGTGGATAAATGAAACATTGTGTTTTTCGCTCCTGCCAAGGTTTTTCTCCCTTCTCGCTCTGCGCCACAGCCCCCACGTGCCTCAGGCCCCCGCGGTTGCATGGGGGAGCAAGGGCCCAATCACAGCTGCTTGCAGCTTTAATTATTATTATTATTCTTACGAACATTTAATCCCCAATTTCACCCCTTTCCCAAATTCAAAAACTCACCAAATTTGGCACACGCGTTCGGTCTGGTGAAAAATTTGATATTTCGGCAGCGTTGAATGTGGACGGGGCCAAATGGTGACATAACGCCCCCTAGAAAGTTTCGTGCCTCGAGCCCCGCCTGTGAGTTTCACCTATACGCTTGGAAATGGGTGGGCTCATAGAACATGCCAAGACGCACAAAAAATCCTCCTGGACCCATGCCATAAACCCAACAGGAAGTCGGCCGTTTTGATTTGAATTTTTGACATGTTTGAACAAACTCCTCCTAGGGATTTTGTCCGATCGACTTCAAATTTGGTACAGATCATCCTGAGAACATGCTGATCAAAAGTTATTAAAAGCTTTACACTATGTCAAGGGGCATGGCCGCTAGGGCGTGACAAACTTTGGTGACTTTTAATTTTCTCGCCATCGAATTTTGAACGGACCTCACGCCCGCATACTTGATCTCAGCAGCTTCAAACTTGCTGGACATGATGATGGCTCCGCCCCAAAAGCCCTGATATGTTATTGTCCCACCTTAATCATAGCACCCCCCAGTGGTAACACGAAGTGACCAGTTTTTACTTTAACATACTGATGACACAAACTTGACCACATCAACTTCATTCCACTTTTAATGCATGCAGAACAAGTTGGTGAAGCTACCTTATGAACGTTGTGAAGCTACATCTAATGGCGTCCATGTGGCGGCGTGGCGACTATCGATCCCTCACCACTAAATACGTTTGGCTTGTTTATGGCTTCAACGATCTCATATTCTCATGAAAATTGATACACAGGTCAAGAATGGTGAGCTCTTGCATCCGATAGGGGCACCGCCCATGGGGGGGACAAAGTGCTTCTATAGCGCCCCCTTGAAATTTTCAAAAAACCCTCCCCATAGGGTTTCTTTTTTTGGAGTAAGTAGATGAAAATGTGTACCTATGTGTAAGTTGCCCAGACGCACAAAAAAGTCTGCCACCAATGGTCTACTCCAAACTGGAAGTCGGCCATTTTGATTCAAACTTTTCATTTTGCCGTCGATTTTGTGATTTTCACACCTTGTAATTTAATAAACTCTACAGATACATAAACAACAATCAGTAGTCATTTATTTTTTTAATGTTGTCAACAACTCCCTTTCCATGTCTGTGTTTCTAATTTGCTGCAACATTAAGGGTAACATTAATAGCCTTTAATGTAGGTCCTGGGGGTGAGATGACCTGAGGTTCTGGGCCCAGTATTTCAAAACTTGTAATCCGGATCAGAATAATCCGGATAATGAAATCCTTCTTCTCTCAGTCAGGGATCAAGGTGATCCTGCTGACTTTATCTGGGTATTTAAAAACATTGGCAGGGTGGATCACTTTGATGCCAATCTGACTAGATACGGATTTCCAAATCTCTCGACTCCGCCTCCGGATCTGAAACGATTCCCCTTTGGGGGCGTGGCTTTCAGATTATGACCCATTGCAATGTGTCTACATGGCGGTCTACTTCACAAAAAAAGCAGTTGGTAGCACAGTTTTCGCATCAAAATGTAAGTATACCGTTGTCTAATGTGTAGCGTTTTAAAGACCATACAAAGGCCACTCACCATCTGATGTGAGCCAGCTATTTGAATTGTCACCTACTTAAAACGTGGGCGTACCGATCTCTAATTGAGCCGAGGTCATGCTAACAGTAGCTAATGTGGCTCCATTGACTGGAGTCAGATGTCAGTCAGTGTTGGAGCAGAGAGGTGGAGGGCGTCCCCGCTTGGTACTGTAAGTGAGTATGTGTGTATGAAGTGTATGTTACACTAGAAGAGTCAGAGGACAGAGTCTTTTACATGCTACCCCCTGGAGTGTTACCGGAGTTTTTGGAGTGCTCAAATAAACGGGCCTTTTTCCCGAACTCAAGAACAGGATGTCTCGCAACACCCTGTTCAGCTTTCATAGGCTGCCTTTGTCGGACGGTGAGATGCTGAAGTTGTGGCTAGTTGTGCTACAAATGGATGCTAACACTCCTGTCCAGACACTGCGCCTTGCAGACCATCGGGTCTGCAGTTCTCACTTCTCCCAAGATGACTACTGCCAGCCGAAGAAGAGAAGACATCCAATCCTGAAACACGTCTTCCTCAAGGAAACGGCTGTCCCACGAGTAGAGAGAGCTACAGACACAGTGGAGCAAAGCTCGTGACATCACACAGCCCAGAGGTAAGGGAAAGGCTAGTATGCTATTTACAGAGATAGCACTGGTGATCTGAACCGGTCAGTGGCGAAAAAAAGCACTTTTTTAATGGCCCATTTATTTGAGCACTCCAAAAACAGGTAACACTCCAGGGGGTAGCACGTAAAAGACTCCGTCCTCTGACTCTTCTAGTGTAACACACACATTTCACACACACATACTCACTTACAGTACCCAGCGGGGACACCCTCCCCCTCTCTGCTCCAACACTGACTGACAGCTGACTCCACTCATAGCACTGGTGATCTGAACCGGTCAGTGGCGAAAAAAAGCACTATTAATGCGCAAACTTATACGGGACACATTTGCCCCCGTTACCGTTTTAGCTCGTTTCGCGGCTCCAGTTGCATCCGCCTCCCTCAATACTGGACCAATTTCAGAACAAGTGG